TTGCCAGGCAGGTGCTTTTGCCACTGAGCTAAATCCCCAGCCCCAACAGCTTTCCTTCTGAATTGGCAGGGCTTCCTTGTAAAATTGGGCCGGTGTCCATTACCACCAGCAGGAGTGGATGGGTGTTCTGATTATCTCCACGGTTTTTGATGGAATAGGAGCTATAATAGGAAAATATTTTAGAATATTTTACATTATTAAATTTTTATGTTTAACATTAGTTTCGGGAAATGATTTGTTGACTTGTTTGGTAGCTCTTAGTGAGAATGTTAGAATAAAATAAAGCGGGAATTAAAATTACAGGCCTAGAATTCTCTGTCCCTCTTAGCCTACTTAACTGCAAATTGATGGCTTACCTAGGGAGAAGATGCCTTAGATTGGTCCTATTTAAATTACCTTAAAGAAATTTTTCTTTTTCTTTATTTATTTTGTCTTTTTGAGACAAGGTCACGCCATACAATTCAGGCTGGCCTTGAGCTCACTTTGTAGCCCAGGCTGGTCTCATACTTGCAACGATCCTCCTGCCTCAGCCTCCCGAGTGCTAGGATTACAGGTGTGTATTGTTGTTGATCTTATTAATATTAGAGATAGGGACTCACACTATGAAGTCCAAGCTGACCTTGAACTCACTATGTAGTCAAGACTTGCCTTGAACCCTCAGTGATCCTCCTGTCTCAGCCTCCTGAGAGCTGAGATTACAGATTTGCCCCAGCACACTCAGCTTGGCTTTTCTTTTCTTTTTTTTTTGGTACTGGAAATTGAACTCAGGACCTTGAGGTTGCCAGGCAAGCGCTTGTGCCATTGAGTTATATCCCTGACAGAGCTTGGCTTCTCTTAATCTGGGACATGTTGACTTTTTCTAGAGCTTGACTTGAATTAAACATTCAACCATATTCAAATAAATGGCTCAGGCGGGGCTTGGTTGCATGCACCTATAATCCCAGCACTCAGGAAGCTGAGAGAGGAGGCTCGCCCCAAGTTCAAGGCCAGCCTGAACTACATGGCAAGACCCTGTCTCGAAAATTTAAAACAACAGCAAAACAAATCAAACATGGATGATTTGGAAATGGGGTACACTTTACCCTCTCATGAGCCACCCACTCTTGCTCCAGCCACAATAATTGATGAGGCTGGTGGAAGTAACTTCCTGAGACATTTCCTGTCATTTGCAGAGGCCCTCAAGAGTGTGTTTTCAGGGGCTGGGGATTTAGCTCAGCGGCAAAAGCGCTTGCCTGGCATGTGCAAGGTCGTGAGTTCGGTTCCTGGTACCGGAGAAAAACCAAAAAAAAAAAAAAAAAGTGTGTTTTCAGCCAGGCGTGGTATCGCGCGCCTGTAATCCCAGCACTCGGGAGGCTGAGGCAGGAGGATCGTTGAAAGTCTGAGACCAGCCTGGGCTACAAAGTGAGCTCAAGGCCAGCCTCAACTGCATAGTGAGACCCTGTCTCAAAAAGACAAACAAGAGTGTGTTTTCTGGGGAGCCCTGACTTTCCTGAGCTGCACCCAGATACCTGAGGCACCTAAGAAATAACTTTGATCAAAGATGCAAACCGGGCTTACACAGAAGGTGCCCTTACACAAACGGGCATGCATTTCTCTCCATGCTCGCATCAAGAGCGCTGGATAGACTTCTCCGGCCCTGTGGTGCTCGGGTGGCTGAGTGTGTGGCCTCTTGCGCAGCTGTGTGAGACACCTGTGAACACGCCCGAGAAGCCCTGGCAGGTGAGTGCCGAGGAGAAGCGCACGAGGAGAGACCTGCGGCGAACCCACCTCGTGTTCAGCATCGACCCCAAGGGCTGTGAGGACGTGGATGACGCGCTCTCCGTCAGGACCCTGACCAACGGCGACCTGGAACTCGGGGTCCACATCGCAGACGTCACACACTTCGTGGCTCCCAATTCTTACATTGACGTCGAAGCTAGAACGAGGTAGGGCCGCGTCAGTCGTTGCTGCGGTCATGTGTGTGGCTGTGCGTTTCCTATCAGTGCGGGTTCAGACACTGAAAGATCTGATGTGTGTAATTCTGAGAATCTCTTGTGGAGAAAAACAGAGCACTCCCCTCCCCGGCTCTTTTAGAACACTGGTAGTTTTGCCGGATGTGGTGGTACACACCGGTACTCCCAGCACTCGGAGAACCAAGGCAGGAGGATCGCTGTGAGTTTGAGTCCAGCCTGGACTACACAGTGAGACCCTGTCTCAGAAAAACAAAACGGGCTGGGGATGCAGCTCAGTGGCAGAGCTCTGGCCTTGCATGCACAAGGCCCTGGGTTCAATCCCCAGCACCACACAGACGCAAAACAAAGAAATAGCACTTTCATCAACTTACCTTTCCTTTTAACTTTTCTATACATTATTTCCTACTACGCTGACATGAGTTCAGTTTTTATGCAGTAACACACTATATAAATACTGCATTACTACTTTTTTTTTTTTTTTTTAGCAGTGGTAACATTCATTTTAGGGGCTCTGCAGAGGGAGCTTGGCCTCACTGAGTACGCCAAGTGAACGGAAAAAAGCAAAGATAAAAGAACATCCTTGTGGACAGGGATATAGCTCAGTGGTACAATGCTTACCTGGCAATCACAAAGTCCTGAGTTCAAGTCCCGCCCCCCCACCCCCAAAAAGAACACCCTGGAGAAAGCAGGATGGGTTACGCTAAGGAAGAACAAAGGCAGCTGTTTTGTTTTTTTAAGACAGGGTCTCATTGTGTAGTCCTTATTAGCCTCAAACTCATGGTGATCCTCCTGCCTCAGCTTCCCGAGTGCTGGGATCACAGGCGCGTGGCAACCTATGGTGCAGTTTTTCTTTCTTTATTACATCAGTACATCATTCAGCCCGAAGCTGCATCCTAGGGAAGTGGGCACCTGGGAGTCGTTTCAAGACGCGGCTGGTACCCGTGCTGGGGAGCCCGTCTGGGGCCTGGCTGTTCCCTACCCACGCCCTCCCTGCTGCCCATTCTGCGTCTGGCTGCTGAAGGTCAGCCACACCTCTGTGTTGTCCCTCACAGGGCCACCACTTACTACCTCGCCGACCGGCGCTATGACATGCTGCCCCCCGCCCTCAGCGCCGACCTGTGCTCCCTCCTGGGCGGCGTGGACAGGTGAGCTGCTACCCTCAGGGCCACCCGGCGCTCCTCCGTGCTCTGCGCTACAATCCCCTTCCACCCTTCTCCTGCTCTTTTCCCCGCCGCTGGCTTTTGAAAGTCTGGGAACGACTGTGTGTGGCTCTGAGCACATGCAGGCCCGTGGGAGCCGTCTGGCGTGAGGGTCACGTACTTCAGGAGCTTTCATTTGTTGTAAAGTTTGCCTTGGAACAGGTAATAACAATTCTATTGTCTGAGACTCATAGGTTCGAAGCGCTACTTGATGCCAGCCTCCGTCCTGGCACTCCCTCATATAAGCCGGCAGTGGGGGTGCACGACTATAACCCCAGCACTCGGGAGGCTGAGGCAGGGGCCGAGTCATGAATTCAGGGCCAGCCTGGGCTACACAGTGAGTTCAAGGCCAGATCTGAATGGCCTACCAAAACTGTGTCTCAAAAAAACAAAAGACCAAAGCAAAAACCACACACACAAATATGGATACGTGCTTTTCTGCATAAATGGTAGCCTTACACATATACACTCACTCTCTCTGCTGCCTCCCTTTTTGGTTTGGATTTAATGGGCCTTGGGATCATTTCATTGAATGATCGTGGCTTATCTGTGCAAATTTGGGTAATTTGCAGTCTGTCACCATTAAAAACAAAGCTACCTTGAATTCTAAACAGAAGCCATCTCATGCCTTTAAAAAACGCAGTACAGCTGAAGGAGACATTCCTAGAAGTACAATTTGTGTGTCAAGGGTATGTGCATTTGTGTTTACATCAACAGAATCCAATTCCCCTCCACAGAGGTTACCGCAATTATATTTCCACCGGCAATGTGTGGGGATGTTATTTTCCCCACAGCCTTGCCAATGCAATATGTGATAGAGTTTTATCTTAGCCAATTTGATGAAAAATAGAGCGGGGCTGTTGCCGGGTAGTGGAATGCCTGCTTCGCACGCACAAGGCCCTGGGTTTGACTTTCAGCAAAAAAAATAAGTACGTCAGCGTGGTCTTAAGCTGCATTTTCCTACTGTGAGCACAGTTTAAAATTTCTGTGTTTAAAAGGCATTTACATACTCCTTTTCTGTAAATTATGGACCGCACACTCTTTGACCCCTTTTCACTGGGTTTTTATTACTAATTGATTTGTAAAAGCTCTTTACATATCAGGGAAGGGAATCCTTTTCACATGGGAGTTATAAATATTTATGTTCCTAAGTAGAATGTTTTGGTGGCAAAGTGGTTTTTTGCTAAAGTAAACTTCTTGTTAATTAACCTGTCATGAAGGGTGATATCAAGGTTGCAATCCCATAGTCCTGCCTGTGGGATCTGAAAGGCTCGATTATCATTTCCTGGGTCTCTGGTAAGCCCTGCATTCAGGAGGCTGAGGCAGGAGGATAGCTGCAAATTCAAGGCTAGCCTGAACTACATACCTCGACCCTGTCTCAAAAAAAAATAGAAAAATTAACAGTCATGTTGTCACTGTCACTGGTCTTGTAGGTATGCCGTGAGCGTCATGTGGCAACTGGATAAAACCTCTTATGAAATTAAGACGGTATGGTATGGCAGAACCATCATTCGGTCTGCTTACAAACTGTTCTACGAAGCGGCTCAGGAGCTCCTGGCTAGAAACTTTGGCATTGCCGATGAGATCCCAGAATTCAAAAACTTGGATGAGAAGAGCAGACAAACCAGGCTGGAGGAGCTGGCATGGGCCATCGGGAGGCTGACAGACATCGCTCGCCACGTCAGGGCAAAGCGTGACCGCTGTGGGGCCCTGGAGCTGGAGGGCATGGAGGTTCGAGTCCAGCTCGATGATAAAAAGAACATCCACGACCTCATCCCCAAGCAGCCCCTGGAGGTCCACGAGACGGTGGCCGAGTGCATGATCCTGGCCAACCACTGGGTGGCCAAGAAGATCTGGGAGAGCTTCCCACACCAGGCCCTGCTGCGCCAGCACCCACCGCCCCACCAGGAGTTCTTCGCCGAGCTCCGAGAGTGCGCTGCAGCCAAGGGCTTCTCCATCGACACTCGGTACTGATCCGGTGGGTGGGGGGTGCTATGCGGTTTATGGTCATTTACAAAGGTCACAGGAAATAAGCAAAGGTAGAAGATTTGGCTGTCACTATTTACCTTAATGTTATGCACAAAGTTGTTTTTGTTTTTTGAGACAGGGTCTTGCTGTGTAGCCCAGGCTTGTCTTGCACTTCTGACGGTCTTCCTGCCTCAGCCTCCCCAGTGCTGAAATTAAAGTGTGTGCCACCACACCTGCCTTATTTTAAAATGCAGCCTAACCTGTGCGTTTTTGTTTTGTTTTTGAGACAGGGTCTCACCATGCCCTTATTGCCCAGAGTGGGCTTCAACTTGTGATCATCCTGCCTCAGCCTCCCAGAGTGCTGGGATTCCAGGTGTACACCACCACACCTGGCTACATGCCTATCATTTAGGTCAGGACATGATTTTAATGCAAGTCCATCAAATTTGAAAGCTCACATTAGTGCCCACTTGATCATGATGCCTCTGTATTCAGGGTCTTTTTGAGATAGGGTCTTGCTATGTAGCTCAGGCTGGCCTCAAACTTTAGGTGATCCTCCTGCCTCAGCTTTCTAGAGTACTGGGCTTACAGGTGTGTACCACCACACCTGACTTGAATAAATTTCTTAAGGATGAAAGAGTAATGTGCTGCCTGTCTTCGTTTTACGCTTAGCTAGCTACAATACAGAACTGAATTATATGTTGTATTATTAGTTTTATTTCTAACATACTTCTATATTTCCTGAAACTTAAAAATCATTTTGAGAATACATAAATAGAATACTTACTCTATCTCTCTCTTAGAAAAGAAATAGCCAGAGGTTTAAACATCTAATCCCAGCTACTCAGGAGGCTGAAACAGGAAGATCACAAATTTAAGTCCAGCCTAGGCAACTTAGCAAGACCCTGTCTTAACGAAGAGAGAGGCCTGGGGATGTAGCTCAGTGGTAAAGTGGGGTCAGATCCCCAGGACTGCAAAATGAATAAAATAATAATTTAGGGGTTTTTTTAAATGTACCTGACATTTTGTTGTGCTTTAATTAATCACTTACTGGTTGAGATAGGGTCTTGCTCTGTTGCCCAAGCTCGTCTTGAATTCTTAGGCTCAAATGATCTTCCTGCCTCATCCTCCTGAATACTGAGACTATTTGACACATATTATTGTGCCCACCTGCTCTGTTTTCTCGAACTCCCTATGGCTCACTAGTTCTTGATAGAAATAAAAGAAAAAGAGCCAGGTGTGGTAGTGCACATCTGTAATCCCAGCACTCAGGGAGGCTGAGGCAGGAGGATTGTTGTGAGTTTGAGGCCAGCCTGGGCTACAAAGTGAGTTCAAGACCAGCCTGAACTGCATAGTAAGAACTGTCTCAAAAAGACAAAAAGAAAGAAAGAAAGAAAAAGCAGATGGGCATGGTCGTGCATACCTGTAATCCCAGCACTTGGAAGGCTGAGGCAGGAGGGTTGCCAAGAGTTCAGGGCCCATCCTGGGCTACACAGTGAACCACAGGCCAGCCTGAACTACACAGTGAGACCCTGTCTCAAGAAAAAAAAAAGAAAGAAAGAAAAAAAAGCCCATTAGTGTCCAGAAAAGATAAATGTTAAGAATTCGCCTCAACAGGAATCTGACTGCACACTAGGACCAAGCATTACTTATCCCAGCATTAAGCAGCACATTACTCTTTTGTCCTTAAGAAATTTATTCAAGCCAAGTGTGGTGGTACATACCTGTAACCCTAGTACTCTAGAAAGCTGAGGCAGGAGGATCGCCAAAAGTTTGAGGCCAGCCTGAGCTACATAGCAAGATCCTATCTCTTTTTTTGTTTGTTTTCCGGTACCGGGAATCGAACTCATGACCTTGCGCTTGCCAGGCAGGCGCTGTGCCGCTGAGCTAAATCCCCAGCCCCCATCAAGACCCTATCTCAAAAAGACAAACAAAAATCAATTCAAATTCTGACACTTTTTCTTTGTTTAAACCTTAAAACCGAACTCGCTTTCAGTGGCTGAAGTTGCTTCTGAAATGTCAAATAAATTTCAAGGCTGGCAGATGGAGGTATTTAGATCGATAAGCAAAGGATTCCCCTAGGAGCGCTGACTTGTAACTCACCTTCCCAGGCTGTATCAGGTTTTTCTCTTCCTGGTCAGGTCCAACAAGGCGCTGGCTGATTCTCTGGATAAGGCAGAGGACCCCAGCGACCCCATGGTGAACTGGTTGCTGCGCTCCATGGCTACGCAGGCCATGTCCAACGCGCTGTATTTCTCTACGGGCTCCTGTGCGGAGGAGGAGTTCCATCATTACGGTGAACGATAGCGTTTTCCCACGTGTGACCGTAACCTTGAGCAAGCTGTTTAAAAAGGATATATACATTTCCTATCCTGACACTGGTTTTTCTTTTTTGAAGGTCTTGCGTTAGATAAATACACCCACTTCACTTCTCCAATAAGAAGATACTCGGATATCGTAGTGCACCGCCTATTAATGGCAGCCATTTCAAAAGAGAAGAAAATGGAAATTAAAGAAAATTTACTAAGCAACAAAGATCTTGAGGAATTATGCAGACATATCAACAACAGAAACCGAGTGAGATGGAGTTTAAAAATTCTCTTAGCTGCGGGTGAGGTGGCACACGCCTGTGATGCCAGCACGCTGGAGGCTGAGGCAGGAGGATCGCTGTGAGTTCGAGGCTAGCCTGCAATGAGACCCTGTATCCAAAAAAAAAAAATTCTCTTACCCTAGGTGTCTTCCTAATAAGTTTTACTGCATAGTGCAGTGAAGTGCCAAGTATTTTAGCAAATTAAATTCCACAATTATTTTATTTTCATTTTGTTTTGTTTTGTTAAGACAGGGTCTCACTATATAACCCAGGATGGCCTTGAACTCACAACAGTCCTCCTGCTTCAGCCTCCTATGTGCTGGGATTACAGAGATGCCCAGCTAAACTCCACAATTATTCTAACCAGTAGTCTTTCAATACATTAAGTTACGTGGATTTGGGGATTTCTGTTTGTGTTTTTGAGATGAGGTCTCACTGTGTTGCCCAAACTGATCTCAAATTTATAGGGTTCAAATAATCAGCCTCAGCTTTCCAAGTAGCTGGGACTGTAGGCAGGTACCCCCACGCCTGCCTTGGATCTGGAAGATGTGACAAGGGATTGGTTTTTCCAAAAGGTAGATAGGGGGCTGGGGATTTAGCTCAGCGGCAAAAGCGACTGCCTGGCAAGCGCAAGGTCATGAGTTCGGTTCCTGGTACCGGAGAAAAACCAAAAAAACAAAACAAAACAAAACAAAAGGTAGATAGGTAAAGGTTCAAACAACACATAAAGGGGCTGGGGATATAGCTCAGCAGCATAAGTGCTTGCCTGGCAAGCCTGAGGTCGTGAGTTCAATTCCCGGTACCAAAAAACAAAAACAAGAAAAGAAACAATAATATCAAACAACACATAAAGATATGAACAGTCAGGTGTGGTGGTACACACCTGTAATCTCAGCGTTCGAGAGGCTGAGGCAGGAGGATCACCATGAGTTCAGGGCCTCTTTGAGCTACAGAGTGAGTTTAAGACCAGACTGAACTACATAGTGAAACCCTGACAAAAAAAAAATTTTTTTTTTGTTTTTTTTTCTGGTACCGGGAATCAAACTCACGACCTCGCACTTGCCAGGCAGGTGGTGCCGCTGAGCTAAATCCCCAGCCCCCGTCAAAAATTTTTTAAAAAGGATATGAAAACAAAACTCATCCCATTACCCAGAGATAATCATTACTAACAATTCTAGACAATCTTACATTTTCATTTGTAGAAATATAGTGTACCTATTTCAGACCATTTTTCACTTAACATAGTTGTCGGTAACAGCGTGTCCGTGACTACAGTGACATCGTTATTTTATGAGCTGCTTTGTATTCTGTTGCGTATCGTCACTAGTAGCCATAAGATTGCGCAGCACAGAACTGGACCACTGGGTGATACAGAAAACTAAAAACCACCTAATTGTTTAATACAGTTTTCTATAGCCAGAGTTCTAATTCTGTTGTACAATACTTTAGCACAAGCCATGTTCATATCTAAATTAGAACAATAAGTTCAGTTCCTTAGGTTTTATTTTGGTTTTGTCTTTTTGAGACAGGGTCTCACTATGCAGTTGAGGCTGCTCTTGAACTCACTTTGTAGCCCAGGCTGGCCTTGAACTCGCAGTGATCTTCCTGCCTCAGCCTCCTGAGTGCCAAGATCACAGCTGTGTCCCACCAGGCCTGGCTTTTTGTTTTGTTTTTTAAAAGACAGGCTCCTCACTGTCTTCAGGCTGGCCTCTGATTCCCTGGGATCCTCCTGCCTCAGCCTCCTGAGTGCTCAGATCATAGGTGTGCACCATCAGGCCTGGCTGAATCTAACTTTTGAAGACACTGTGGGGATACGAGTTCGTTTCTTCTGGGAATCTCAGGGCAGTTCTAATACTTTGGGTTCCACTTCTCAGGCAGCACAGCATTCTCAGAAGCAGTCTACTGAGCTCTTCCAGTGCATGTACTTTAAAGACAAAGACCCTGAAACTGAGGAGCGCTGCGTAGCTGATGGAGTTATTTACTCCATTAGAACAAACGGCGTGCTTGTATTTATACCAAGGTATGTTACATCTAATGCAGTAGTTAATACAAAGAGTAAAACTGAAAGTGTAGGACACAAACAGTACATTAGATGTGAGTATAGTAAGGTTATGGATTGCCATGCTTAGTGGTACACACCTGTAATCCCAGCATGCAGGAAGCTGAGGCAGGAGGATTACCATGAGTTCAAACACTGCCTGAACTGCATAGAGAGATCCTGTCTCAAAAAACTAAATAAATTAAAAATATTTCTTAGGGCTGGGGGTGTAGGTCAGTGCCAGAGTACTTGTCTTGAATGCATAGTGCCCTGGGTTCAATTCCCAACACCATCAAAAAAAAATTTTTTTTGAGACAGGGTCTTGCTATATACTTTAGGCTGGCCTTGAACTCACTACCTATCCTAGGCTGGCCTCAAACTTGCAGTGATCCTCCTGCCTCAGGCTCCCAAGTTCTGGGATTACAGGCATGCACTACCACACCTGGCCAAATTTTTTTTAACTGAAGCAACTATTTATAAAATTATCGATCATACAATGTAATGTACAGTTCACTATATAATTATGAAATGGAAGCAATTGGGAGTATAGCTGTGTCCATGCTAGGATCTTATCTACAAAACATTTTGTGTTCCCATGTTAGAGTAAAGTAAATATTTGGATGTAAAGCACAGGAAGAGTGATTTGTTTTTCATCCAGAGAAACACACAAGACCTGCATATGAAGCGTACATTAACTCTGGATCTTTATTTTGACAACGATTCAGGTTTGGGATTAAAGGTGCTGCTTATCTAAAAAATAAAGATGGTTTAGTGATGTCCTGTGGCCCAGACCGCTGCTTGGAATGGAAACCAGGGTCCCTGCAGAGATTTCAGGACAAAATCACCTCCACCACGACGGGAGGAGAGTCGGTCACGCTGCGCTTGTTCGACCACGTCACGGTGAGTGTGCGTCTGTGGAAGCGCTGCTCTCGGCGTGACAAGGAATGGGACCGAGTGACCTGTGCCTCTCCTCCGTGACAGGTCAGGATATCGGTGCAGGCCTCGCGCTGCCATTCGGACACCATCAGGCTTGAGCTCGTCAGCAACAGACCGCACGAGGTCCCGAGCTCGGAGCGCTCCCAGCCGAGCCCGCTCCTGCTGAGGAGCGACCTGGTGAGGGAGGTCACCAGGTGCGCGGAGGAGGCCCAGCTGGCCCAGGACGTGGCAGCGGACGCCATCCAGGAGGAGTACCCAGAGTACCGCCAGACCAAGGGCCGGAGCCTGTACGCGCTGCTGGAAGAGATCAGGGACCTGGCGCTCCTGGATGTCTCGGGGGACTGCGGCATATGAAACGGTCCTGCTTCATCCGAAGAGCTTCGTCTTGGGATTTTACCATCTTCCCCAACTTCACGCTGCAGCGAGTCACTGGGTGCTCGAGACAAAGTAGGTATTTCGGTGTGCAGTGTTCACTCCTGCTCCGCGGGCGCTGCTTTAAATGCGGAACCCGTCGCCGTGGACGCGGAGGTTTCAGCCCTGCACGGACAGGGAAGGGTGCTCTCTAAGGTCACTTGCTGGCCTCTTTTTAATAAACCCACGATTTTTAGTTGTCTGGTCTCAGTTCTCTCAAAGTAAATTCTGGGGCTGGGGATACAGGCTCTGGGTTCGACCCCAGCACCGTTAATCTCCTACAACAGGCCGTCTGGGCCCGAGGTGCCTCTGGTTGACAGCTTTTCAGTTTCTGTCAGTAAGTCCTGGGCCTGTCCACCTCCCCACTTTAAAGCTCCTATTTCCCATGTGACATACACGTTCCCTTTGGCGGCACCAGCCAGGGACGGGGCCCCCACGGAGGTGGGGTGCAGAGTGTTGGCTGCACCCCCACAGTCTGCGGAGTGTGCCTCAGAGGGGGTGACTGGCGCCCCCTGGCTGGCAGCTTGTCATTCTGCCAGTACACCCAGCACCAGGGAAAGAACTCCCCAGGCCCTGCGTGTGGACAGAGTCCCGAACAGGACTCCGAGACGGGCAGCCTCCCCCGTGGCAGGGTCACAGGTGTGCGCCCCCACACCCGCTTGGTGGCCCCGAGACCGGGCTGTCTCTGCTTCCCCGTGACAACAGTAAGCCCGATGTATTGGGCGCACGAGCCTCCTGGCACATCGCCGGGCAGCGCCCTGGGCACGCATGCGCTCCTCGTGTTCCACTTTCTGGCTTTTCAACCAAGCCATCCTTGTCACTGTCCCTGCCCCAAGTCAGTGACCTAGAAGAGCACACGACAGCTGCTGTCCCAGCTCTGGACAGAAGCCGGCACTGTCACTATCACACGGTGAGTGCTTTATTCTCCAACTCCCAGGCTCCCAAAAGGCGACTTCCAGTCCCCTCTGCGGTGACACCGGCTCAGGCTTGCCCGCCCAGGGGGGCAAGAACAGACCTCCTACCAAGCTCCGGTCGACGCCCACCCCCTGCCCTGCTGGCTCGGGCGGGAAGAGCTGCCACTGGGCCCCACAGCCTCCGGCCCTGAGCCCCACACCTCGCCGTCGCCATTCCCAAGCGGTCGTCCTGCATCTTGGCTCACGTCCATCACTGCACCGCTCACCCCACGGCTTAGCATCTGCTCCCCCCAGTGAAGACCCAGCCTGCAACTCCTCCCTCCCTATGACTCCTGTGTTCCCTCAGTACTGGTCCCCTCAGCCCGTCACAGGGTCCCAGGGGCACCAGCGATGGCCAGGCCACAGCTCAGCCCCTCATGGGTCAGACGACTCGAAACGCATGCAAAATCAAATGCTTTAGCAAAAGTGTAACTTGCCCGAAGAGTGATGAAAGACGTTCATAAAGCCGCCACAGTCTTAAAAATAATCACTTTACTTCTTTTTAAAAAGACACATTAATGGTCGGAACATATTTCCACCTTCAGCGTGACCCCATTTCGTCAGCACAGCTGTGCAGCGCACACCAGCAGCAGCAGCCGCTTAGTAACTGTTAATCATTCGTGAGGTCACAGCTATATAAAAATAGTCCTCAGGATAAACAGGCTGAACTAAATCAACAAGGGACAAACATAAATAAATACCAGATTTTAAGTAGGGTTTTGCATAAATTTTACTACCTAAGAATTTTCATACAAAGTAAAGTACAAATGGCAAACTGCAGAATGTCGAGTTAACGCACTTTCTCCGTGGAGGCCTCGTTAACCTCAGTAACCCTGTGCAGCATGGAGTTGACATGGTTTTCTGGTGTTTTGAGACAGGGTCTCACTCTACTTCAGGCTGGCCTTGAACTCACTACGTAGCCCAGGCTGGCCTCCAACTCACAGTGATCCTCCTGCCTCAGCCTCCCCAGTGCTGGGGTTATAGGCGTGCACCACCGCGCTTGACTTGGAGTTATAAAGTCTGGTCCGGCGGTGTTTCCTCTCATTTCACATCCTCTCCACTTACAGCACTGACAAGTGTATCGCCGCGCGGGCTGTGGGCCACGTCTCCGTTCACTTCCTCCTGCTCCTCTCCAGGCTGCCCCTCCTCAACCGCCTGTGCGCTGGGTGTGTCCACGAACAGGCCTGCGAGAAACCCTCACGTTACTCAGTGCAAGCAGCTCACAAGTACAGACAGCTTCAAGAGCTTGGCTTAGGAGTGGGATCTCTGCTCACTCGGTTAATGTTAATTAGGATTACTGGGATGGGGATTTAGCTCAGCGGCACAGCGCCTGCCTGGCAAACGCAATGTTTTGAGTTCAATTCCCGGTACCGGAAGAAAAACAAAAAACAAATTAGGATTACTGCATTCTAAAGGAACCCAGTTTGATATATGCCTGAAAAGACTCAAGATACAAAGGGTCACTGCCAGGCATGGGGTAACCAGCGTAGTCCCAGCTACTTATGATGAGGCAGGATTGAAAACTCAAGGCCAGCCTGGCAACTCTGAGACCCTTTCTCAAAATAAAAAAAGGGCTGAAGCAGGAGAATCGTTGCAAGTTTGAGACCAGCCTGGGCTACAAAGTGACCTCAAGGCCAGCCTCAACTGTGAGAACCTGTCTCAAAAAGAGAAAAGTAGATAAATGAAATAAAAAAGGGCTGGCCAGGCATGGTGGTGCCCACCTGTAATCCCAGCACGGGGGCTAGCCTGGGATGGAATTACAGATGTGTCACCCCGCCAGCAATTATTGTGGCACTACCATGCCCAGGAATAACTGTATCTTCATGTAATTTTTCCCATGGTAAAATTTTTCCCATGGTAAAATAGTAAAAATATCCATTCATAAAGATTAAAACTGAATTCATTTTAACTGAAAAAATGGGGGCCGGGGATATAGCTTAGCAGCACAAGCACCTGCCTGGCAAGCGCAAGGTCCTGAGTTCAATTCCCAGTACAAAAAAAAAAGCCGGGCATGGGAGGCTGAGGCAGGAGGATTGTTGCGAGTTCAAGACCAGCCTGGTCTACAAAGTGAGCTCATGGCCGGCCTGAACTGCACAGCGAGACCCTGTCTCAAAAAAAAAAAAAAAAAAAAAAAAAAAAATTAATACAATCATAATATTAATCTGAGAATTTTGTTTTTGTGGATGTAACATTTTACAACATGGTTTTTACCTTATTTATTTATTTGTTTTTGGTTTTTTGAGACAGGTTCTCACTATGCAGTTCAGGCTGCCCTTGAACTCACTGTGTAGCCCATGGTGGCCTCAAACTCATGGCGCTGTTCCTGCCTCAGCCTCCAAAGTGCTGGGATCACACTTATGTGCCACCATGCCCAGCCTAATTCTTTTCCAATTTCTTTTTCAAAACAGGCTCTCCCTATATACCACAGGATGGCCTTGAACTCACTATGTAGCCCAAGCTGGCCTCCAACTCATGGTAATCCCTCTGCCTCAGCCTTGTGTGCTGGGATCACAGGTGTGTACCACCACACCCAGTTCTTTTCCCATTTTAAAAGGAAAAACAATTGGAAACTGAGAAAATAATCGTTTCTACTTCATTCAAAACTTGTAATTCTAAAAACAAATTTAAAGACAAAACAAAAAAACTTGTAATCCTTTTTAAATACTGTTTTAACAAATTTACCTGGTTTCCCCAGCACCAAAAAATATACAAAATCAGCAAATCCTAAGATAGTCCTAGAAGTGGGAAGGATGCTACAGATAAGCAAATGAACAGCCACCAAGAGTGCAGGTTACAAAAACAGACACAAAACAATAAAAAGCATGTAAATTACCATGGATGGCTCTAAAATCCTCATGGTACAGAAGGCATTATATTTACTATCAAAGTATCGTAATATTAAAGTGTTACGATCCTAAAAATTATGGGGGACAGGCTCTAAGGAGCCAGGGAAGAATATTTTTTGAAGGATTTACACTCTTCCCAAGGAGTTTCTCAGCTACTCAGAAAGCCAGTCAGACTCATATATCCTTTGAAAACTCCGAACGGCTCACACCACTCGCAAGTACACATAAACCTGACATCACACTGCCTGGTGCGGAGCAGCATCTGAGTCTGGGGGAGACCAGGAAAGTTAACATTTCTCACACACCCTTATATTAACGGTAGCACATAAAACCCGGTGTCCATTTTACCATCTTCTGGGGCCTGACTGCTGCTCAGCAGCTTTGCCTGCCTTCTCCCCAGGGCCAGCTGTCTGTTCCTCTCCATTCTCTGCTGCTGCTCTTCCGTGAGGCTCCTCCTGGGCTCAGGAGTGAGCTGCTCACTCTCTGCTGAGTTTGTCAGGAAGGGATCAAATTCAGCAGCTGTTACTTCAAGGCCATTCTTTTCCCCTACTTCATCTGTCGTGGGGAGAAAGAAGTTAGTATATCAGCAGTGTTAGATTAGTTAGAGCACTTAACTGAAAAACAATCTAAAGTTGCAGATGTAGCTTGGTGCTAGAGCGTTTGCCTAGCATGCTCAGAGCCCTGAGTTCAATCCCCAGTACAAAACAAATGGAAAAAACCCAAACCATAATCTTATCGTACATTAAACCAACATGTTTTGATAGCCTGACACAGTGTCTGTATGGTACACAGTAACTTTATATAGGCCATTATTTTTTACAAGGCCAAACAGATAGAAGAAGTTTAAATCTGTGAATATATTTCCAAGTTAGCTGGGCATGGTGGTGTGCACTTGTAATTTCAGCATTCAGGAGGCTGAGGCAGGAGGATCATTGCGAGTTCGAGACCAGCGCAGGCTACAAAGTGACCTCAAGGCTATTCTGAACTGCATAGCAAGGCACTGTCTCAAAAAGACAAACACAAAAAACTGACTGCTATCTAGTCAGGTATGGTGGTGCATGCTGATAATCCCAGCGCTCAGGAGGCTGAGGCAGGAGGACTGCTTGAGTTTAGGAGTTCGAGGTCAATCTGGGCAACACAAGAAGGGAAGGGAGTTTCAATGCTCTAAATTATTAGTGTTGACAATTTTTAAAAATCTTGTTACATCAGTTATCTCAAAGAAAAATGGCTTCAAAGTGAAAGTAAACATTAGGCCTTCCACTTATATTTCAGAATTTTAAAAAATGAAGTTTTACCAACATTTAAAATAAGGACTGCAGTGATGACTAGCACTTGTCTGTATGACAGTCACTGGTCTATGAGCAGAATGGGGAGTTGCACCTCGTTCATCTTTATTGTTATTTACTTTTCGGAGGCGCTCGGGATCGAACCCTGGGACCTGGGCTTGCCAGGGAAGCGTCCTACCACTGAGCCCCAGCCCCAGCCCCGGCCATTTTTTAATTTCAGCATGGCGGCACAGATGTTTCTGACAGCCCCACCAAGTCACCTGGCACCTTAACTTGCTGCAACAGAACAGCCACAATCGTGTGGTAGCTTCAAAAAATTGTGTAAGCCGGGTGTGGCAGCACACACCTGTAATCCCAGCACTTGGGAGGCTGAGGCAGGAGGATCTTGCGAGTTCGAGACCAGCCTGAGCTACAAACTGAGCTCAAGGCCAGCCTGAACTGCATGGAGAGACCCTGTCTCAAAAAAAGGCAAAAAAAAAAGTGCAAAATACTAACATGCCTGCAGGTGGGAGAGAACCATAAGAAAATAGCAGCTGACATTTCACCTTCTCTACATTATTCACGTTGTGGGATTTTTAAAAAACACAAAAAAGAAAAAAGAAACAGTAAACCCTGCTCCATCTGACAAGCCAGATGAAAAAATTCCAGTCACTAACTGAAACAGAAATTTATGAGCCAGGTGGGGTGGTGTACCCCTCTAATTCCAGCACTAGGGAGGCTGAGGCAGGAGGAACCAGCCTGGGCTACACAGTGAGTTCAAGGCCAGCTTGAACTACATAGCAAGACCCTGTCTCAAAAAAAAAGGGAATTTATGGGCTGGGGATTTAGCTCAGCAGCACAGCGCCTGCCTGGCAAGTGCGACATTGTGAGTTCGATTCCCAGTACCAGAAAACAAACAAACAATCAAACAAAAGATAATTTACAGATACTATCCTTGTCTTCTTGCCTTGAGATATGAAACACAGTAAAAATCCAGTATGATAAGCAAAACATTTAAAGGATGGATATAAGCCTTTATAATTGTTAAGATTTGAAAACTGTAACAGTTACTCCAGCTCTTCAAACAAACCTCTTTTTGAGGATTCTCACCTAACTGTGAAAGAGCTGAACACCCTTCCTTCCTGACATGGGAAAAGCACTGCCAAGAAACTAAAGTGCACCACTTGGGCCGGCAAATAACCTACACAGGATACACAGAAAACACTGCTGGTTCCTGACAGCTTCCCTTACAGGGCAGACAGGATTCTGAGACAACACTATCCTAAGGGGCTATTTTTCTGAGTCACAAAAGAAAAGGTATCATCAATAGAAAATGATCTCTTTAACCACCTACCAGTACAATTAATTAAATACAGGATGACCAAAAATTGCATTTTTCATTAAATTTTATACTATTAACAGGAAATATAAAAATGACAATCTTATCTAATTTATTCAACATGGCTAGGCATGGTGGTGCATGCCTGTAATTCTAGCACTTGGACAGATGAAGCAGGAGGATCGCCCTGAGTTTGAGGTTAGCCTAGGCTACATAGAGAACTGAAGGCCAGCCTGCACTACAAAGCAAGACCCTGTTTCAAAAAAAAAAGAATCAACTGGCTAAATGACACCTGCCCAAGTGACGCTTGGGATAATCAGTATAAAAACGCATTACTGCCAGGCATGGTGACACATGCCTATAATCCCAGCACTGGGGAAGCTGAGACAGGAGGATCGTTGTGAGTTCGAGACCAGCCTGGGCTAGAAAGTGAGCTCAAGGCCAGCCTGAACTGCGTAGTAAGACCCTGTCTCAAAAAGACAAAAAAACAAACAAAAGAAAGCCATATTACCCTGAGTGACTTCTGGGTAAACTGTTAAGTAATTAGTAAAAACTGTATCTTAGGGAAAAACAAAGTGAATGTAACGATAAAGCAGCTTGTTCCTTTAAAATAAATATGATTTTAAAGGCTGGGCATGGTGATGCAAGCCTGTAATCCCAGCATCTGTAATCAGGAGGCTGAGGCAAGAGGATCACCATGTGAGGCCAGCCTGGGTTCACAGTGAGTTCAAAGGGAGCTGAACTTTGTATCATGGTATGGTTTGTGTCTGGATGTCCCCCCCAAAGCCTCATGCAGTCATGGGGCAGGTTTTCAGAGTTTATGACTGATCCATGGTCCAATGCTGGGATTATGGGTGTGGGTGCTACATCCGCTCTGGGGCGGGTAGTTTGCATATGTAAGGCAGGGAAAGAGGCTGCTCTGCCACTCCTCCCCTTTTGCTGTTGCTCTTGCTGTCTTCCACTGCCATGAGCTGTTGCCCTCTGCCATGTGCCGTTGCCCTCTGCCATGTGCCACCCTGCCTTGGAGCCAGCCGAGTATGGACTGAAATCCCCACAAACTGTGAGCTAAATAAACCTTTCGTTCCTTAATTTTGGGTGTCAGGTATTTTGTCTCAGCAACAAGAGAAAAGTAACCAAGACATACCAAGATCCTGTCTCTGAAAACCAAGGGGAAAAATAAATTAGGACTACATATGAACCTCATTCACTGCAACATTCATAGGCAACTGAGGCAAAGAAGCTAAAATCAGGAGTGCTCCATATATATCTATATCTATATCTATATCTATACCTACCTATCTATCTATCTATCTATCTATCTATATATATATTTTTTTTGGTGGTACTGGGGATCCAACTCACAACCTCGCCCTTGCCAGGCAGGTGCTTATACCCTTGAGCTATATCCCCAGCCCCTCCATGTACTATAAAGGAAGCCATCATTCTGGCACAGACGGAAAGATAAGTCTTAAAATGTTTAGTGGAAAATAAGTGATAACAAACTGGCCGGGTACGTGGCACATGCCTATTACCCCAGCCACCTGAGAAGCTAAGGCAAGAGGATCCCAAGCTCAAGTCAACCCCTGAACAAGACTGTCTTGAGACAATAAAAAAAGATGGGAGGTACAGTTCAGTGGTAGGGCACCCCTGTTTTTAATCTCCAGTACTGGAAAAGAAAAAGAAAAGGAAGGAGAGGAAGAAGAGAAAAGAAAACAGCATAGGTAAGCCAGAAAAGGGGGAAGAAGGAATGCAATTTCAACAGTGTAGCCAGGGAGACTTCACTGAGCTGACACTGCACACAGTCTGAAGAGATAAAGTCAGCCATGTATGAAAAAAAGGGGGGGGGGATAAAGGGGAAGGAGAATAAAAATTAAGATGTGTTATGTACATGTTTTTTGTTTTTTTTTAGGGGGGGGAGGGTTTCTCCGGTACCGGGAACCAAACTCACGACCTTGCACTTGCCAGGCAGGCGCTTTTGCTGCTGAGCTAAATCCCCAGCCCCTGTGCTATGTACATGTACCAATTCCCCACATTGAATGTAATCACTGTGTACCAATAAAAGTTTTTTTAAAAAAATAAAAGTCAGTTGTGTAAATATGAAGAAAATGACAAGAGGATTCCAGGCTGAGTTGAAGGATGTAAAACCCTTATGACAAGCCAGGTGTGATGGCGCACAATTGTAATCCTAGCACTTGGGGGGCTGAGGCAGGAGGACTGCTGCAAATTCAAAACCAGCCTGAACTACATACTGAGACCTTGTTTCAAAGAAAAAAGCCTTAGCACAGAAATGTGTTCAGAATGTTTAAAAAAAGCTAAAAGACAACAGTGGTGGAAGCGGTGTATGACACTGACGGTGGGGTTAGGGTTAGGGTTTCAGCCAAAAAAACGTAAGCCTGGTTACTGCTCCACCTGGCAGCAGACCCCAGCATCATCTACACGTTGCTGGTTTTAGGTGCATGCCACATGTAAGAGTTGTGGGGTCAGGAACGCTTCCCCTCAGATGTCAGAAGGAGGCCTGGGAGGCCAGGCAGTGTGTCCCTGAGGACAGTGTACGAAGCTGTGAGTGTGAAGCCAAAGGCTTTACAGAGATCCCAGAAGTTTAGGAAAGCCCAGAACATAGATCATCTGAGAAAAACTGCAAAGTGGGCCCAAGAGAGATGCGACGGGAGCTACAATCAAGCCCTTTGGAGTTCACGTCTTACCACAGATTTCCCTGGATGTTCAACACGGAACTACAAGACTTAGTGTCTGCCCTGCTGGATTTTGAACTTGCTTTGGCCCCATTCCTTTGTATCCCTGTTTGTACCTTTTGGAAAGGAAATGTTTATCTTGTGCCATTGGATAGTGGAAGTGTTCAACTCTCTTTTCATTTGTAGAGGTGTTCACACAACTAAGACTCTGCCTTAAATCTCAGAGGAGAAATGAGAATTGGACTTTTCAGCAATGCTGAAAATTTTAAGACTTTGGCAACTCTTAGTGTTGCCAAAGACTAAATGCCTTCCACATAAAGGGATATACACGAGTTTTTGGGAGGCCAGGAGTTATGGCTTGTGTCTCAATAGTCCCCAAACCTCATGCAGTCAGGCAGTGGGTGCTTTGCAGAGGTGGCTAGATCTAGAGCGTGTGGTGCTGGAATAAAGCAGTGTGATGACTAAGTCAGTCTACTGACTAACCAGTCCACTGGTCTGGCATAGTTCTGGCTAGGATTGAGGGTATGAGTGCTACACCCTCCCTAGGGCGGGTAGCCTGCATAGAACACAAGGGACAGAAACAGGGCAAACATGCTCTCACGCACCTGCCTGCTGTGGACTGTTTCTCCTCTGGGATGCACCTCTGCCCCGCCACCCTGCCTTGGAGCCAGCCGGCTGACTATGAGCAGAAACCTCTATAAATTGTGAGCTAAATAAACCTTTTCTCCCTTAACATGAGGGTGTTGGGTATTTTGCCTCAGCAACAAAAAAAGTAACTGAAACAATCTTAGTAAAAAATTAAGACCCCATTTTTTTTTTTTGTACCGGAAATCGAACTTAGTACCTTGAGCCTGCCAGGCAGGAGCCTGTGCTACTGAACGATATCTCTGCCCGCCCCCACCCCCCCGAGATTATTTAAACCACATTCCTTTACTTTTACAGGCCACTTATAAACAACTCTGGGAAATTCTATACGAAGCGTCCATTCCCACATCTATTAAAGTTTGAAAACTAACATTGAAAAGGTGTATGGAGCCATCGCACATAACATCTGATAACTCTACAGACTCTGTCGGCAGGAACCACGTGCTTTCATGTGCGTGACTGTCTGCGGTTGCACTGTACAACTGACAAATGCAATCATTACCAGAACAGTCACAGAGATGTTAGCGGAGTGCCAACTTTCATCAGCAAATTATTCAGCCTGATTTCCCACAGCCAGGCTTTCTAACAGTAGACATGTACATGAACGCAGTGTCTTGACAGGTATTTTTATTAACAAGCACCACAAAGGTTGAATGGGTTAGCAGAATTGCCAGAAGTTCAGATTCTGTGGCTAAATACAGTCTTACATGTCTAACGTTACTGCAATCATATCTTTAAAAAACAAACTTCATATGTGACATTCTAGGTTTAACTAAGCATTTTAATCATTCCTATTTTTTGGGGGGGGGAGGGGGTTTCCAGTACCGGGAATCAAACTCACGACCTTGCACTTGCCAGGCAGGCACTGTGCCGCTGAGCTAAATCCCCAGCCCCTAATCATTCCTATTAACTGTACTTTTTTTGTTAACTGTACTCTTAATTACAGACTAACATCCAGTCCTATCTTTTTTTTTTTTTTTTTTTTGGTACCGGGAATGAAACCCAGGGCTTTGGGGCAGGGAATATAGCTCAGTGGCACAAGTGCCTGCCTGTCGGGAGGCTGAGGCAGGAGGATTGTTGCAAGTTTGAGGTCAGCCTGGGCTACAAAGTGAGCTCAAGGCCAGCCTGAACTGCATAGGGAGACCCTGTCTCAAAAAGACAAAAAAAAAAAACCAAAACCAAGTACCTGCCTGAAACCCAGGGCCTCCCACTTTCCAAGCAGGTGCTGTGCTGCAGAGCTAAATCCCCAGCCCACCAGTCCTATCATACTGCCCACCCCAAATAAATCTCTTTCTAAAACAAAACTGTCACAAAGTAAACAAACCTAAACACTTACCACTATTGCTAACAAAATCTTCATGTAAAATAGGGAGATCAAGTCGAATTCGTTTTAAACAAGTCTGAAAAAACATGTATTTTCATCAATAACATTAAGAAAGTGAATGACCATTTTATTTAATTCTTAGTTTCTAGAAAGTTCTTGAAATAACTATTATTAATTTTCCCTCCCTACCAAAACAGATTTAAAAATAATGACCCAAAATTGCAACTTAGCCTCAACTAAATCTATCTGCTTGCCCTTTAGCACTGTCAGTGACATTCACGGTAACTGCAACCCTTACCTGAACTTCCTTTTTATTTCCCAAGTACTCAACTCTGTCGATAAAATCCTCAAATTGCAGTTTGGGGAATAGTCTATGTGCCCAGTGCTCCATGTGTCTGATGAGCGTCTTCAAGTCCTCTGCCTGGCAATAAAAATAAAAATGCTAAACGGAAGAGCCCGTCAGCACATTCAGAACTGAAAAGCAAAGCCAAGGTCACTGGTGTCATGTTTGTCAGGTTAAGAAACTTCTAGAAGGAAATTAAAAATACCTACATTTAGTAAAGGCTTGGAGGATTGCATTCTAAAAGAGCACTGGATATAACTTTTTTTAAATAGGGGGAAAGTATCAGTATAAAACCTTAAAGTTGCTGCGCATGGTGACGCATGCCTGTGATCCTAGCTGTCTGGGAGGGTGAGGTAGGAGGATTCCAAATTGGAGGCCACAATGAGTGACTTACCGAGACCCTGTCTTAAAATTTAAAAAGGCTGGGGATACAACTCAGTAGGAAGGCCTTGAGGGCCCTGGGTTCAATGCATAGTACCACACACACACAAAAAAAAATTCAAAAAACACCACAATAAAGTTAAGTAATATTCATAATTGTCTTAGAACTATTAGGTAATAGGCCGGGGATTAGCTCAGTGGCACAAGCACCTGCCTGGCAAGTGCAACATCCTGAGTTCGATTCCTGGTACCAAAAAAAAAAAAAAAAAAAAGAACTACTAGGTAAAAACCCCAAATAAGCTTTAATAAAATAGTAAAGTATCTTTCAAAAATAAGTAAACACTGTGAGAAGTCCATAAATTATATACCCAGAAAAAAAACACTGAGAATTTAAAACTCTAAGAGTATATTCACAAAGCCCAAGGACAGAGACTTGCAAGAACAACATAAACATCCTCAAAGCATAGTTACTCAACGAATTTGAAATTCCAATTAATATTTTAAAAAATGACAATGAAAAACAGGGTATAATAAACTTGACTGAGTGAAGTGAGAAATTCTTACTTTTACTATAAAATATACCATTCTTTGCTTGCAGCATTTTAAAATATGAGAATGAACAGGACAGGGATGGAAAGCACAGCTTCCGAGCAGGACGCAGATTCAAATCTCAGCTCCAGCACTTTCAAACCATCTACCTCTCTGTGCCTCTTTCTTCACGCAGAGAATGAGAATAACACGCAGACCTCACGGGGGGTGCCGAGAAGGCCACACAAGTGCTGGCACACGGTAAGCGCTGCAGGGTCAGCGAGCACGGCTCCCTGACCTGTGGAGGGCAGTGGTTACAACCGCCCACGTACGATGACTACTCACGGAACGCCGAGGACGCCTCTTTTCATTCTGCCCTTCTGATAATAAAATACAAGTTCTAATTTGTTCTCTTTTTTGCTTTTCTGAGAACAGGCCTCTCATTTGTGACACTCCTGCCTCCGGCTCATGGTGCTGGGGTTACAGCCGTCCGCCATCACAGCCAGCTCATGGTATAAATGTGTTCAAAACTCAAACACCTAAGATTATTTTCCACCTACTAGGAGCCTCTTTTCTCATACGTCTTGGTCCAACCACCTTAAAAAGTGGTATTAGGCAGGGTATGGAGGCACATGCCTGTACTTCCAACACTTGCAAGGCTGAGGCAGGAGGATCACTGTGAGTTCAAGGCCTCCCTGGGCTACAAAGTGAGCTCAAGGCCAGCCTAAACTACACAGTGAGACCCTGTCTCAAAAAAAAAGTCATATTACACCCATGCGACACAAGAGAAGTATGAGCTGAGAGTGTAGCTCAGTGGTAGAGCACTTGCCAGCACTCACAAAGCCCTGAGTTCAATCCCCACCAATGCACTGCACTCTACAAAAGAAAACAAAGTTTAAATACAGTAGGCTCCAAGTCACACATGGAGAAGGAAAGTAAGATTTAGTACTGTGAGAAAGGAGGATTTTTCAAGTCGAAACAGAGAAGAAAAAACTTAGCACACTCAGACCCATGGAAGAAACACGAAACGCGTATCCTTTATCCAAGTCTACTTATCTGACTTATTTGGTTTTTTTTTTTAAGACAAGGTCTCACTGTATAGCCTGGGCTGGCCTCCAACTCACAGCCTCAGCCTCCTGTGTGCTAGAACTACAGGCAGATACTACCATGCCTAGCTAAGTTTACTTATTTTAATAAGACTTATTATGAATACAACCAGGAGTACATAAAATCAAAGGTTCACGGCACAGCGCCTGCCTGGCAAGCGCAAGGTCGTGAGTTCGATTCCTGATACTGGAAAAAAAGAAAAAAAAAAAAAAATCAAAGGATCAATTCACCACTACTACCCAAAAAGCTAACAAGAACAAAGAATGAAGTGCCCCGGGTTTAGTTTTGAAAATATCCCCATTTACATTTAATTTGTGGCAAAACAATTCAGGCTCAATATTCTCTCATGTCTATTAAAATTGAGCAAAGACACAGTTTTTCTGCCTCCTAGGTTTGAAATCTTGGGATTAATTTGACTCTTCTTTTTTTCACGTTCCTGTATCTTAATCACTGAGTCTCATACACTATTCCTCTCTTACTTCTGCCCTGCCCCGTGCAGCATCACCCACCCCACTGAATGACAGCAGCTCAGGTCACTGTCCACCTCTCCCTCCCAGTTCTGACGCAAACCGTGTCTATAACTCACTGTCCGAGCACTACTCTAGCCAGGCTGGAATATGCAAGGTCTTGGCTCAACTTTAGCCACTACACTGGTCACTTAAAACCCTACAATTACCTTAACTAGGTAAGAAATCCAACATCACTGATACTCCACAGGTTGAAAATTAGAGAATATCTGGGACACACTTGAAACTGCAAAGTTCTATAAAAATATATTGTCACCTGTGAAGACGTTCTATCTACAATCCTATATAACCCAAAGGTAAGAGCATTTTTTTTGGTAAGTGCATATTTGACTTGTACTATGTAGATGATGGTTGTCAGTTACTGTTTTCCTTCTGAAACAGAACTTCACCACTGCCTACAAACCATACACTGTGCCATACCTAGCGACATGTGAGTGACCAATACAGAAGTCTTTGCTCTTATGAAACTTAAAATCCCTCTTTGAGAGAGAAAGTACACGCCTGTAATCCCAGCACACAGGAGGCTGAAGCAGGAGGAATGCTTTGAGTTTGAAGCCATCCTAGGTTACAAAGTGAGTTCGAGGCCAGCCTGAACTGCATAGTGAGACCCTGTCTCAAAAAAAAAAAAAAAGAGAGAGAGAGAGAGAAAGTAAATTTTATTCCTCTAAATTGTAAAGTACAAACTCAGGCTTATAGAGTAAATTTTGCTGGGCGTGGTGGCACACACCTGTAATCCCTGCACTTAGGAGGCTGACACTGGAGAATCAATTGAGTTCGAGGCCAACCTGGGCTGTATAGTGACTTCAAGGCCAGCCTGAACTACACAGCAAGATACTGTCTCAAAAAAAAACAAGAAAAGAAAAAGTAAATTTTATTCCTCTAATTATAAAGTACAAACTCAAGTTTCTAACGTACAAAGTCAGTAAAGCCGGGTGTGGTGGCACACGGCTGTAATCCCAGCACTCAGGAGGCTGAGGCAGGAGGATCGTTTTCAGTCTGAGGCCAGCCTGGGCTACAAAGTGAGCTCAAGGCCAGCCTGAACTGCATAGTGAGACCCTGTCTCAAAAGGACAAAAATAAGTAAATAAATACAAATAAAGTACAAAGTCAGATCTGATTTTCCTAAAGCCATAGAACTTACATTGGCAAAAAAATGTGATGTTTTCTAATTTTAGGCATTTTTTTGTTTTTGTTTCTGGTACCGGGAATCAAACTCAGGACCTGGCACTCGCCAGGCAGGCACCTGTGCTGCTGAGCTATATCCCTGGCCCTCTAGTTCTTCAAATACTACCAATTCTGCCGATTATTTACTAACTCTTCAACAGTATCTTTTCTACTACATCACATCTATGTCTCAAAAGATCTGGTGACTGACGATAGTATCTATGAAACAACCTGAGGGGCTGGGGATTTAGCTCAGCGGCACAGCGCCTGCCCGGCAAGCACGAGGTCATGAGTTCGATTCCTGGTACCAGAAAACAAACAAACAAACAAAAAAGAAACAGTCTGAGATTCCCAAGAACATAACAAGCCCACAGTTTCACTGGTACTTTTAAAAAACACAACAGTTTGGGGCTGGGGATTTAGCTCAGCGGCAAAGCGCCTGCCAGGCAAGCGCAAGGTCGTGAGTTCGGTTCCTGGTACCGGAGAAAAACCAAAAAAAAAAAAAAAAACTAAAAAACACAACAGTTTAACACAGAAACAATCCACTTCTTACCTCATGACCTTTACCTTTGAATTTTATCTTGTCAAACACATGCCTTAAGGCTGGAAGGCCCCTCTCTGAAATTAATCTGTGAATAGAAATTTATTTTGAATTTCAAGTTTTCTATAGTTATGTCCAAACCAAGAGCAGAATTTCTGAAAAAAATACCTTCCCCTCAACTGAAAAAGACTATTTATAGAACTATCTGATCTCCAAATCACCCTAACGAAAAAGCTTTTAACATTACAAGAAAAGCAAGAGTGGCCAGGTGTGGTGGCGCATGCCTGTAATCCCAGCACTAGGGAGGCTAAACACAGGAGGATCATTTTGAGTTCAAGACCAGCCTGGGCTACAAAGTGAGCTCAAGGTCAGCCTGAACTGCATAGTGAGACCCTGTCTCAAAAAGACAAAAAAAAAAAAAAAGAAAAAAGAAAAGCAAGGGTGGTAAATAAAAAAGCATAGACATGCAAGAAAATGGTCCAAGTACCTCTGAGCGTCCAGCCTAGGGTTGTTCCTTTTAACTGTTCTCTTTGGAGGGACAGGAACAGGTTCTCGGCTCTCTGACTCTAGTGAAACATACCAAGATTTAGTATTATTTAAGCCTTACTCATAAAACGCATGACTTCTAACTTGATTAATGGACAGCTGAGCTGGGCATGGTGGCGCATGCCTGTAATCCTAGCACTCAGGAGGCTGAGGCAGGAAGATCTTGCAAGTTTGATGCCAGTGTGGGCTACAAAGTGAGTTTAAGACCAGCCTGAACTCATAGTGAGACCCTGTCTCAAAAAGACAAAAAATAAAATAAAATAAATGGATAGCTGAACAAGGGACATTTTTGTGAAATTCTCAATGCAGACCTTCAGCCATGGAGTGGTGGTGCACTCCTGTAATCCCAGCACTCGGAGGCTGAGGCAGGAGGGTTCCCGAGAGTTCAAGGCCAGCCTGAACTACAAAGAGAGATCTTGTCTCAAAAAAAAAAAAAAAAGAAAAAAGGAAGAAAAAAATCAACACAGACCTTCATTGAGTTCAGCTCCTTCACCATCTCTCTGTGGAGAGGATGGAGGTGGAAATGGAGGGAAAGTCTCGTCTTCTACGTGTTCATAATCTGGTAGGTCAATCAGGCCATTCTCTTTCGGTTCTAGCATCTTTTCCTCTGCGGGGGTGGGGGGGGAAATAAAACTTTTTATTCCTCAAAACAGTCTTCTTATTATTACTGTTAGTTTCATCTGCAGCGTAAGTCATGTGTCTCAGGTAAACCATATTTCAAACTCATACATCATAAAAATACTAAAAAAAGAAAGAAAGAAATACTGCCAGTTGTGGTGGCACACACCTGCAATCCCAGCATTCCAGGAGGCTGAGGCAAAAAGAGCACAAGCTGGGGTTTGGGCCACTTGCACACTTAGCGAGATCCTGTGTCAGAAATAGGGCTGTGTGCCAGGCATGATGGCACCCACCTATAATCCCAAGACTTGGGAGGCTGAGGCAGGAGGATCACTGTGAGACCAAGGCCAGCCTGGGATACATACGTAAGCGAGTTGAAGCTCAGCGGCACAAGCACTTGCCTTGCAAGCAAAGGTCCTGAATTCGATTCCCAGTTCCAGAAAAAAAAAAATTGGGCTGTGGCTGGAGCTCAATGACAAGACCCTAGATTCAAACCAGCATCACAATCAATCAATAAAGAAAAGGTAATTCTCTGAGCAATGTGGCACATGCCTATACCAGCACTGATGAGGCTAAGGCAGGGATATCACTTAAATCGAGGAGTTTGAGACCCCTGCTGAAAGAAAGGAAAAAAAGATTTTTAGGGAAAATTATGCAGGAATAGAACGAGGTTAGAAATCAGAACTGAGTTCTTTTTTTTTTTTTTTTTTTTTTTTTTTGGTTTTTCTCCAGTACCGGGAACCGAACTCATGACCTTGCGGTTGCCAGGCAGGCGCTTTTGCCACTGAGCTAAATCCCCAGCCCCTGGAACTGAGTTCTTCCATGAACTGTACCACTAAATAGCTTCATGATTTGAACAAAGCATTTTCCCTAACTAGTGAGTTCCCCTACTATAGAGGATTTAATTTGATTATTTAGAAGGCTTTAAACTATGACTACAAAGAAAGTAAAATAGGTGGTATTTCACCCTTACCTCAATCAGAGCAATTTTATTCAGTGCCGAGGAGGAAACCCAGGCCTCGGGCATGCTAGACAAGTGCTTCATCAGAAAACTACATCCACAGCCCTGTAGCAGCTTTTGAAAAAAATCTGTTTATGTACTGGTGTTGCAGTTTGTGTCTGGATGTCCCCTTAGAGCCTCATGCAGTCATGGGGTGGGCATCTAGTTTGTGATTGTCCCATGATCCCACACTGCGATTATGGGTGTGTGAGTGCTACAGGAGGGCGGGAAGCCTGCATACTCCTTTTTGCTCTTGCTGCTTTTGCTGTCTTCCACGGCCATAACTGTTGCCCTCTGCCATGTGCCACTCGGCCTTGGGGCCAGCCGAGTACGGACTGAAACCTCCACAGACTGCGAGCTAAATAAACCTGTCCTCCCTTAATTCTGGGCATCGGGGAATTTTGTCTCAGCAACGACAAAAGTAACCAAGACAACTGATTTTCTAGGCAGTCTCCTTTGGGCAATGGCTAATTATCCTCACGCTGGTGACTCAAATTACTCTTCATTACCATCTCGCTGGACCACTCAGCTACGTCCAACGCTTTTGGACAATCTCTTTTTCTGGAAAAAAATGTTTCCCTTGATGCCTGAAATACTGTACTTTGTACATACCTGGTTTTTCTGTCTCAAAAAAAAAAATTAAAAGCTGGAGAATGTAGCTCAGTGGTAGAGCACTGGGCTAGCATGTGTGAAGCCCTGGGTTTCCCCAAAACCTTCTTGCCAAAAAAATGTCAAAGCTGCTCCACAGCACAGAAAGAAGAGACAGAGAGAAAGAAAGGAAAGGAGAGAGAGAGAACGGTACTAGCCCGATTGTAATTACAATCTCCCTGAGTTAGTGGAGTTCTGAACTGAGGCTGACTGGGGTCCGAGCTTGGTGACAGGATATAAACTATATTTACGTTAGGTATAGCAAGGAACTGGCGAAACATGGGTGGGAACTGGGAGGCACCTAGTTTGCCTCAGTATTTGTAAGGAATACCATGTTTCCTGCACTTCTGTCACTCCTTCCAAAGGTGCGTAACCGCCTCTTTTTGAGTTTTTGATGAAATCATCTTAACCTCCTCTTTTGGTCCTCATCCCCAAAAAAAACTATGGGCAACAAATTTAATTTCCAAACCAAATTGGCCCGCGGACCCTTCAGTTTCCAGTGTCCGACTTTTCCCGGCTGTCAAAACGGAAACATCATTGGGCGTGGTGCCAAACACATGTAGTCCCAGCACTTGGGAGGCTGAGACAGGAGGATCCCTGCGAGTTCGAGGCCAGCCTGGGCTACATAGTGAGTTCAATGTCAGCTTGGACTACATAGCGAGACCCTGTCTCAGCAAAACAAAACGAAACACAAGAATCCCTCTCTGGGCATGGTGGTGCAAGCCTGTGATTCCCGGCACCCCATCTGGGAGGCTGAGGCAGGAGAATTGCAGAGTACAGACTGGGCAATTTAGCGTCGTGGTCAGACGCTGTCTCAAAATTTTAGAAAAAAAGAAAAGCGATAAAAAAGGCTGTGTTGTAATTACGCGCAAAGGTCCTGGTTCGATCCCCAGAACGGTGCAGAAGTAAAAGAAAGCCCTAGTCGGGGAGGAACCCTTACCCGCTGACCGGATGTGCGCGCGCTCTGCAGCCCGTCCTTCCGCCCTCAGGGCTGCACACAGCAGGCGTCTCCTCGCGCGCAAGGCCGGCAACCTGACGCGGTCGCCCACCACGCTCCCCTCCCGACCTTCGCGCCCCGCAGCCCTCCATCCCCGCCTGGGGGACTCCCCGCTCCCCGGCTCCGCGCTCCCCCAGCAGCCTCTCCCACTGGGGCTCACCTCGCGGGGTCCAGTTCTCACCTGGTGCAGACCGAGACAACCTCGGCGACACCCGCTGTGAGTCTCGCGAGACTCTGAGCTCTCGTCGCGAGAGGAGCCCTTGGCGTTTGGCGCCAAATCTGCGCGCTGCGGGGGCGGGGCCTCCAAGCCCCGCCCCGGCCCCGCCTCCCGGCGCTCGCGTGTCTAGCCGCTTCCGCGTCGCGGAGGCAGGGGGAGCCTGTAGCTACCACCTGGGCCTGCGGCTTGGCCGTTGTTTTCTAGGCCCTCTGAGCTTCGGGGTCAGGCCTCGGTGTGATGGTAACAAGGGTTCTGGCTGAGGGCCGAGTACCACAGTGCCTTGAACGCGAGCTTTATGACGAGCCCAGAAGAGAGATGGCAAAGATTTAGGGTTAGAAGTGTGCACAGAGGGCTGGGGATATAGCTCAGTGGCATAAGCGCCTGCCTGGCAAGCGCAAGGTTCTAAGTTCGATTCCCAGTACCAAAAAAAAGGAAGTGTACACAGGCACGCCTGTTAATCGCAGCAGTCGGAAGGCTGAGGCAGGAAGATCCCTGCTAGTTGGAGGACAGGGCACCTAGGGCTGCACAGCCTGAACTGAATAGCGAGACCCTGCCTCGAGAAAACAAAAACAAAGTACACACAAAAAATTCCAAAAATGTAATTACACATTGTGTTAACATTGTTAACATTGTGAGTTGAGTCCAGCCTGAGTCGGTGCCACATACCCATAATTCCAGCACTCTGGGAGGCTGGGGCAGGAGGATAGCATGTCCGAGGCCAGCCTGGGCAATTTGAAAACTTCAGTGAGAATTTTGTCTCGCAATCAATCAGTGTTGGGGTGTAGCTCAGAGCAAGGGGACTGGGTTCAATCCCCAGTACCAGGGAAAAAGTGGCTGAGGCTGTAGCTCAGTGGTAGAGCCCTCTGGACTCAATCCCCCACACTGCAGAAACTGCGTGTAAAAAACTATACATGTAGGCGGGGCATAGTGGTGCATGGGTGTAATCCTAGCACTATGGAGGCTGAGGCAGGAGGATCTTTGGGAGTTCAAGAACAGCCTGAACTACCTAGCAAGACTCTGTCTCAGGCCAGGGGATTTAGCTCAGCGGCACAGCACCTGCTTGGCAAGTGCAAGGTCGTGAGTTCGATTCCCGATACCAGGAGAAAACCGCCCCCCAAAAAAGACCTTGTCTCAAAAGACAGGCAAACAAACTGTACAGATAGCACATTTTACTTTATGGTTTACTGCAAGATAAACTATTAAGCGATTAACAAAATTATTTTTAGTTTGAACTAGAAATATGTCAACTTCAATAGTCCAAATTGCTGAGAAGGCCAGATGCATTCTTTTAATTATCCAGATCCTGCTGGGCATGGTGGCACACGCCTGTAATCCCAGCACTTGGGAGGCTAAGGCGGGAGGATCATGGTGAATTCAAGACCAGCCTGGGCTACAAAGTGAGCTCAAGGCCAGCCTGAGCTGCATAGGGAGACCCTGTCTCAAAAAAAGAAAAAAAAAAATTATCCAGATCCCAATCTGTAGTCTGCACTTCTTGCCCAATAACGTGAAGACCAGCCTGGACTATACAGCCAGACCTTGTCTCAAGAAAAACAAACAGGGGCTGGGGATTTAGCTCAGCGGCAAAAGCGCCTGCCTGGCAAGTGCAAGGTCGTGAGTTCGGTTCCTGGTACCGGAGAAAAAAACCAAAAAAAAAAAAAAAAAAAAAAAGAAAAACAAACAAAAATGAATGAGAGGTGAGACTGGTTTCTGTTACAGCTGAGAACCTTAACACATACTGACTGACTGTTAGCACCGAGTACAGTGGTGCACCCTATCATCTCAGCTGCTCTGAAAGCTGAGGCAGGAGGATCACAAGTTTGAGGTCAGCCTGGGCAACTAGCAAGATCCTGCCTCGAAAACTAAAAAGGAGGGGCTGGGGATTTAGCTGAGTGGCAAAGCGCCTGCCTGGCAAGTGCAAGGTCGTGAGTTCAATTCCCAGTACCGGAGAAAAAACAAACAAAAAGAAAACTAAAAAGGACCAGGGGTGTAGCTCAGTGGTAGAGCACCCCCATTCTATCTCCATTACTAAAAACCAAAGCAAAAACAATAATATGGTAAGGCTCAAGGGGAGAGAAGCCAGAGCTACAGTTGTCCAAAAGCCAGGCGTAATGACATGCTTCTGTGATCCCAGCACTCAGCTGAGGCAGGAGGACTGCCTCGAGCACAGGCCAGCCTGGACTACATAGTGAGACCCTGTCCCAAAAAGATAGATAGATAAATGAATCAATCTGTGACACTGGAGATTCTGCTCTTCTGAGGACACACAGAACCCCAGGCCATTAGCCAACGCCTGCTTACTGTTCACAGCTCAGCTGCCCACTGAGGCACGCCATCAGTTCCTGCCTGGGGAAGGCGCCCCCACCACACATTCCTGAATCAGGGCCCCATCGTCACACCAGCCTCCTTGCTTTCTCCCCTGCCTTGCAGACTCTTCGCCCTTCTACGAGAGCTTGGCTGCTGCCTTCAGGATGGGAAGAGGAGGCTGCTTCCGTGGGTGCTCACCAATTCCAAGCAGTTATTACAACATGGTTGTCTTGGTTACTTTTCACTTGTGGAGACAACAGCCACATTAAAGAGGGAAAGGTGTATTTAGCTCACAGTCTGTGGAGGTTTCAGTCCATACATGGCTGGCTCCAAGGCAGCGTGGCTCATGGCAGAGAAGCAACAGTTCATGGCGGTGGAAAACAGCAAAAGCAACAAGAGCAAAAGGAGAGGAGCAGCAAGAGCAAGCCTCTTTCCCTCCCTTATACTGTATGCAGGCTGCCTGCCGCAAAGCAGGTGTAGCCCTCATGCTCATAATCTCAGCATTGGACCATGAGTCAATCAAAAACTAAAAGCCCAGCCCAGGGCTGCATGAGGCTTTGCGGGGACATCTAGACACACACCATAACAATGGTACTTTCCCAACCAGAACACTCCTCTCCCTAAGAGAACTAATGTTTGCTTTCCTTTGTTTTTGTTATTGTTGTTGTTGGTTTTTTTTGTGGTACTGGGAATCAAACTCAGGGCCTCTCGATTGCCAGGTACATGGCCCTCCTTTGTTTTTTGTTTTTTTTTTTTTTTTGAGGCAGCGTCTCACTATGTAATTCAGGCTGGCCTTGACCTCACTAGATAGCCTGGGCTGGCCCCAAACTTGAGGATCCCCTTGTTCTGCCCTAACAGCTACCACAACCTCGGAGGCAGCACTGGGCCCTCCGCTCATAGTGACCACCCAGCCACCATGATGTCTCTAATGCAGCTCTAAAATTGTAAGGTGCACTTGGTGTCTTGCACCTCTATGCAAAAGCCCTACAGTACATGCCAGTCTCAGGCCGGGTCTCCAAGTCTCCCTGTTGGGAGAGGGTACAAGAGCAGCAAGGATGAGTAACAGCCTTGGGTTCTGTGGTGACTGGAGGACCTCACAGTGCTATCGCTATGGTAACAATCACAATGTTTTCTGTTTTCTGAGGCCATACAATTAAGGCTGTGGAGAAGAAGCTACTTGTTCCTTGGGAGTATATAAAATTACAAATCACATTGATGTGATTTGTTTTTTTTTCTTTTTTTTGTTTCCGGGACCGGGAATCGAACTCTGGACCTCACGCTTGCCAGGCAGGTGCTGTGCCGCTGAATAAATCCCCAGCCCCCACGTTGATGTGATTTGATTAATTATAATTCCCTTTTTTTTTTTTTGAGATACAGTCCAGACTGGCCTCAAACTCGCATAGATCCTCCTGCCTCAGCCTCCCCAGAGCTGGGATTACAGGTGTGCGCCACCACGCCCGGATGCAGGTGAAACTCTTTTTTGGCAGATTTTCAGCTCTCTGTAGCTGACTGGCATCGAGGCTCAAAGATGGTGGCTGTACCATCACAGGTCTGACACCCTCCGGTCACTGCAGCCCAACCAGACACTTGTGTTCAATTTCCCGCCTGGAATCTTTCCAGAGCGCCTGGCAGGCAATGGATTTTTGGAGAAGGGGAGGAAGAGGAAGAGGAGGAGGACAGAAGGAAAAGGCTAACAATGGCAAGCGCAAGGTCGTGAGTTCAATTCCCGGAACCGGAAAAAAAAAAAAGAAAGAAAGAAAGAAAAGGCTAACAAGTGCCTGCAGAAATGCCCTCTGCAAGGGATCTGCAGTTTGTCCGATCTGAGAATTTGTCCACCCGGGACTCTCTCGGATGTCCAAGGAGGCCGCGACTTCCTGCCTCCAGCGCCTCTGGGAAGCTGCAGTGTGAGCTCCGTGCTGCCGGAGGAAAAGGCCACCATGCACATCTGCCGGCCACCATCCCCAAACCAGGTGCGGGCTTGACCTGCTGCCCAGGCAGCCACATCCTTCGACTTTTTTCTTTTTTTGGTACCGGAAATCGAACTCACAACCTCATGCTTGCCAGGCAGGTGCTGTGCCGCTGAGCTATATCCCTGGCCCCAGCCACATCCTTCGAGAGCAGCGGAAGGGCAGCTCCTGTGCCCGGGGAGGCGCCTTCTCCTTTAAATGAAGGGCAGTGGCCATGCCAAGCAGCTCCCAAAATAACCCAGCGCTTTCATTGCCATCAGTCTGACATCAGGGACCGGGAAGCGGATGCGGCTGGGGGGGAAACCTTGCACCCCTGACTCTGCCCTCAGCTCCGCAAGGGACGGCCGCCAGCCTCCCTGATGCTCGTGGTCCCCTGCTATTTATTTCAAACATTTAAAAATAGCTGCACTGCTGCACTTAGTTGGGCATGCTGGCACACGCCTATAATTCTAGCACTTGGGAGGCTGAGGCAGGAGGATCACCTGGAGTTGGAGGCCAGCCTGGGCTACATAGTGAGACCTTGTCTCCAAAAACAAAAAACAAAAGTTTTCTGAAGCATTTCTTTTTCCTCTAGCTAAATTGTTTTGTTTTGGCCTCATTATACAGTCTAGGCTAGTCTTGAAGGGATTTTGGGGGGTTTATTTTTGTTTGTTTGTTTGTTTTCAGTTTTTTGAGACAAAGTCTTGCTGTGTAGTTCAGGTTGGCCTTGGACTTACTATGTAGCCCAGCCAGGCC